ATCCCTGGCAGCTGGTGAGGCCAGAAGTAGACGTTTCTCTGAACCGTTTTATTAAATCTGACACAAATTAACTTATAATTCAACAGGAGTATGTACAATAAGGAAAGAAATATGACACTCACCGTTCCATCTTTACTGATGGATCCAAGGACGGTGGCAAGGTGGCATGTGCCACTGTCGTTGGATCAAAACATTTATCATCTAAAATACCAGACAATAGCTCTATTTTCACTGCTGAGGCCAATGCTTTTCTTACAGCCTTAGTATACATTCAACGACAGTCTGCATATAAACAATTTATCATCTTTTTTTATTCTCTTTCTTGTCTTCAGGCACTGAAAAAAGTCTCTTCTAATCATCCAATTATTTTAGATATTTTAGAACTTTATAATGATCTTTCAACTGGCCAATATGACATCGTCTTTTGTTGGTTGCCCAGTCATGTGGGCATAAAAGGCAACACATCCGAGATCTTGTGCAAAAGAAGTGGGACACCCAAGTAGGTATAAATAAATTACAACAAATTAAGCCAACCATCGGTTACACCTTCTTGGGTTGTCAGTCCAGATTGGAAGAGGTCATAATGCGACGATGTCGTATTGGCCACAGCAGGTATACACATGAACATGTACTGAAAGGTGGGGATCCTCCATTTTGCATCCCTTGTGATGAGAGAATCACGGTCAAGCATGTCCTGCTTGACTGTATTGATTTTGCCATCACAAGGGATAACTATTTCAAATCATCATCTCTTAAGGATCTTTTTAATAGTATTAGTTGTCATTTAGTTACGGGATTTTTAAAAGAAATAGAACTTATTGATAAATTTTGATTGTGTAGATAGTAAATTTTTATAATTTTGGTAGTGTTTAATCTGTAACTTAGATGGTAAGTGGCTGTATCCTCAAACGGGGTTGAAGTAGTGTCCCTCTGAGAGGGAGACCACATCCGGAAAGTACTTTTATTCCAACCACAGCTTTTAAATGTAGTATATTTGTTTCTTGTTAATTCTGGCTTAATTGCGTACCATCGCAAGCAGCTGAAGGAATGGTGTAAATCCTGCTTGGGAGCCATGCAGGTAGTAGAAGCGTTGTTAGTCCCCATGGTCCCTAGTAAGGTGGCCTGACTTTGGTTGCTGGCGATCTATAGCCCGATTTTATAATGTATTGTTGAATAATAGGTTATTATTTCAATTGTTCTAAACTAGTTTTACTTATAAACTGTGATATACTAGTTAGGTTTTATATTAATGTTCAAGTTACGATATGGCTGAAATATTGCCGACGTGACGTTAATTTTAGCTCACTCACTCAGTCAAGAGATGAAGCTCAACTGTGTCATCTGTGTCAATGAGATGAAGCTCAACTGTGTCAACTGTGTCAAGAGATGAAGCTCAACAGTTTTAAGAGATGAAGCTCAGCTGTGTCAACTGTGTCAAGAGATAAAGCTCAACTGTGTCAAGAGATGGAGCTCAACTGTGTCTGCTGCGTCAAGAGATGAAGCTCAAAATGTGCCAAACTGATGAAGCTAAACTATGTCAATTGTGTCAAGAGACGAAGCTCAACTGTGTCATCAGTGTCAAGAGATGCAGCTAAGCTATGTCAATTGTGTCAAGAGATGAAGCTCAACTGTGTCAACTGTGTCAAGAGATGAAGCTCAACTGTGTCAACTGTGTCAAGAGATGAAGCTCAACTGTGTCAACTGTTTCAAGAGATGAAGCTCAACTGTCTCAATTGTGTCGTGAGATGAAGCTCAACTGTGTCATCTGTGTCAAGAGATGAAGCTCAACTGTGTCAAGAGATGAAGCTCAACTGTGTCATCAGTGTCAAGATACGAAGCTCAACTGTGTCTGCTGTGTCAAGAGATGAAGCTCAACTGTATCAACTGTTTCAAGAGATGAAGCTCAACTGTCTCAATTGTGTCGTGAGATGAAGCTCAACTGTGTCATCTGTGTCAAGAGATGAAGCTCAACTTTTTTAAGAGATGAAGCTCAGCTGTTTCAAGAGATGAAGCTCAACTGTTTTAAGAGATGAAGCTCAACTGTTTCAAGAGATGAAGCTCAACTGTTTTAAGAGATGAAGCTCAGCTGTGTCAACTGTGTCAAGAGATGAAGCTCAACTGTGTCAAGAGATGAAGCTCAACTGTGTCAACAGTGTCAAGAGATGAAGCTCAACTGTGTCAACTGTGTCAAGAGATGAAGCTCAACTGTTTTAAGAGATGAAGCTCAACTGTTTCAAGAGATGAAGCTCAACTGTTTTAAGAGATGAAGCTCAACTGTTTCAAGAGATGAAGCTCAACTGTTTTAAGAGATGAAGCTCAACTGTGTCAACTGTGTCAAGAGATGAAGCTCAACTGTGTCAACTGTGTCAAGAGATGAAGCTCAACTGTGTCAAGAGATGAAGCTCAACTGTGTTTGCTGTGTCAAGAGAAGAAGCTCAACGGTGCCAAAGTGATGAAGCTCAACTGTGTCACTTGTGTCAAGAGATGACGCTTAAGTATGTCAATTGTGTCAAGAGATGAAGCTCAACTGTGATTGCTGTGTCAAGAGATCAAGCTCAATTGTGCCAAAGTGATGAAGCCCAGCTGTGTCAAGTGTGTCAAGAGACGAAGCTCAACTGTGTCAACTGTGTCGAGAGATGAAGCTCAGCTGTGTCAATTGTGTCAAGAGATGAAGCTCAACTGTATCAATTGTGTCAAGAGATGAAGCTCAACGTCTACTTCTGGCCTCACCAGTTGTCAGGGATTTGTAGACAAGAGACGAAGCTCAACTATGTCAATTGTGTCAAGAGATGAAGCTGAAGACATGTTTTGATCCAACGACAGTGGCACATGCCACCTTGCCACCGTCCTTGGATCCGTCAGTAAAGATTAAACGGTGAGTGTCATATTTATTTCTTAATTGTACATATTCCTGTTGAATTATAAGTTGATTTGTGTCAGATTTAATAAAACGGTTCAGATAAACGTCTACTTCTGGCCTCACCAGCTGCCAGGGATTTGTAGACAAGAGATGAAGCTCAACAAGGTCAACTGTGTCAAGAGATGAAGCACAGCTGTGTCAACAGTGTCAAGAGATGAAGCTCAACTGTGTCAATTTTGTCAAGAGATGAAGCTCAACTGTGTCATTTGTGTCAAGAAATGAAGCTCAACTGTGTAACAGTGTCAAGAGACGAAGCTCAACTGTGTCATCTGTGTCAAGAGATGAAGCTCAACTGTGTCAAGTCAAGAGATGAAGCTCAACTGTTTCAACTGTGTCAAGAGATGAAGCTCAACTGTGTCAAGTCAAGAGATGAAGCTCAACTGTTTCAACTGTGTCAAGAGATGAAGCTCAACTGTGTCAAGAGATAAAGGTAAACTATCAAAAGGTCAACTGTGTACTCAATACCGTAATAGTGTCTGTTCTCACTTTCCAATAGAAATCACACAGAGACTGTTGATGGATTACAAAGGGCTTTGTGATGGATTGAAACCTCCCACGAGAAAGTCGTGTTGTGCCTAATGGGCTGTCTAATGGCCACAGTTTCAAATAATTGACCCACGGAAGCCCACAGGGGAATATATAAATGTGCTTAAGGAACCTTTATTGAGTAAACAATGAATTTCTGCCATATATCTGTGTCATATTGTATTCATACAAGGGTATTATTGGCACAGAATTTGCCAAGGGCCTCGGATGTCAGTAAGTGTAAGTTAATTATCGATAAACAATGAAGATTTTTATTTTTTCTCATGGTCAGTATTGAGGTTTGGGAGTCATAAGATGCTGATGTCATCACACGTAGGATGCGTATTCAATCAAGGCACATTCACAGGACTCACAAAATCCGAATTCAAAGATGTGTCAAGTCTGTGACACTGCCCTTTCAACCCGGCTTTACATCTTTAAGCTATGGCCAATACACACTGCACCTCGTTTGCCCATCACTCATCTTATATTTCAATCTCTTCAGTGTCAAGTTCCTATTTGGTCATGGTCACTTGCCGCTGTTCCCCAAGGGACAATTGCTTCACATTTAACGACTTTCATTATGTTTTATGTTCCCTAGCTATATACAAATCCCAAGCTGTGGTGATAAGTTTGTATATGTAACAACAGCACTGGTTCAATAGGTTGCATACTGGGATAATTGCTACATAAACTTGTCCATTGAATAAACCGTTACCAGCAAAAAGGAAAATTCAATTTCTAAAACATTTTCACCATGGCGAACAATGTGACTTAATGAATAACACTATTGTGGCAATAGCTCCAACTAAAACAAATCAAATTCGGAAAAAAGTACGAATGCAGAAACATAAAAAAATAAACATTCACCGTTCAAGTTGACTTAAATTTTCGATCAATAACATGAAAGAAACGGATGTTCCAGTGAAGTTTTTCAGTTTCCTGTTCTTTATTTTTATCCAATCAAGATTAGCTCCGAAGCGCGGCAGAGCTCATGACATTAGAGGGAGTAAAGCATGATCCCTAATGGTTTTAAATGTAACGCGATGGGTAATTCAATAATGTTCACCTAGAGAACTATTAATGATTTTCAATTTTGTTTGTGTCAAGCAGGGATTTCGGGAATATTCTGTATGAACGTGTTGCTTTAAAGCGTCTTATACGGGGTTAATAAGAACACTACAATTAGTTCAATTTTTAAGAAAGCGCTTAATGGGATTATTTGATCACGTTAATCCTACTCCGAATACTCAGTGATAGCCTTAATCCTGGGAGCAGAGAACAGCTAACTATATCAGAATGGTCATTACCATCAAAAATATCGATCACTTTTCTGAAAGTAAAACTATGCAAGTAGGATTATAATGTAGATTGGCAATTAATGGAAAGTTTAAATTAGCGCTATCCCCAATAACAAAATAACAAAAACATTAATACGGTCCTTCCACGTGGCTCTCTGGCACATAAAACTCCGGACAACACTAATGACTGGCGAACCCTTTACACGCTGCAGGGATGTTCTCGTTGCACATCGGGGCAGTCGGCAGAAGTGTTCTATTAGTCTGATGGAACGATCGCTGGTTGACAGAACCGCGGCAGCATTCTGTTAGAAGGCAGGAACAGGTATCGCCATGTAAGTACATAGCACAATATGATGCGTTCTGTACCTCCATGTTCAAAGGAACGGAACCTTTTTACATAAATTCATGTTTTTTCTTACTACTTATGTTGTCAAGTTTATTCCTTTGAATTGCATAACTGTATTACTTCCTGAACTGATTTACCAATGTGTTGATTAGATGGTGAATGTGTTGTTCTTCAGATTAAGGACTTCCCAACAATGAATTTTTCTCATGTATATATGCGATGTATAAAATGGTCTTGCGATTAGAGTATGGTTGTAATACGAGTAGTTTCGACACCGAACATTGTTACTACCCTATATTGTCTGTTTTAGAAGGTTACCACTTTTATCTTATACTTCATATATAAGACACTTCAAAAGAATTAAGAAACTTTAAATCGGTATTCCTGGAGTGCCATGATCATTTTTAAAGGGGGTCAATTCGTATTCTAAAATATTGCCGTAAAAAGCATATCACATTTACAGGACTTGTGGGGAACTGTACAGTAGGGCGATGAAAATCTCTACTTACTTTTAATGTTGATATGTGACTCAAATTATGTGAAATGTTTCCGTTACTCAATGTAAATTTGAGTATTGTATAAAACGGCGAGGGACTAAGGAAACATATATTATTAAACCTGAAGGCAATTTCTTGAAAATTTGTCGTCCAAGGCGCCAGAACTTCCGTGCAGATTTGATACCCTTGCCGTGACAGGATCCGCTTATCGGGTATGAATAAAATGTGTGGCTCCATTTTGAGTGCACTACCTGAATGGGTGTGCTTCGAGGTTTTACAGAAATGTTAAGCCTTTGTTTTTCTTCCCGTGTGCTCCATTACCCGCCCCCACCCCAACCACCCACCAACGCCCCCCACCTTCCTCCCCACCCACTTGAATTTTAAACGCCATTCACTCAATATACCATTTGTTTATCAACTCATATTCCGCCAGCACATTTCACTGGTAATATGATATACAATGTACACTTCAGGAAATATATTTGATGATGAATGAGAAAAACATATAAATATATAATCATTTACATTACAAATGTCATACTTATTTTGCAAAAAAACATTTCTGAACAAAGCCTGAAACATGATTACATCATGTGCGGTGAAACGTTTAATGAGCGATTGATAAACTATATTATTGTTAAAGTGTATCTATTGCTGATCAAAAGGAAACTACATTGAACTAACCCCCAGAGGTAGGCCGCCAACAGATACTTTTTTCAAAAACAAACTGATCATATACATGTATGTGCCCGGATAAAAGAGTGTATTTTAAAGGAAGAGAGGAAGCTAGCACCGTCGTGTTCTACACTACTAATAGTTGTATCCATCGGAATTTATCTATGTAATCGACATCGTACCGCAGCTGACATCGCGGATGGTCTGGCAGTGTACTTTCGTTCTTTCCTGGACATAATAATCCATTCCAATTGCGTTACGTATGTACACTATCCGTGTGACAATATAACTTACAATATTACTCACTTGATAAGAGCGAACGAGTGGTCAAGTTGTCTGGCCTTCGCACGTCACTCTGCAGATGTGCGTCCAAGGGCATGACGGGATCGAGGAACCATGGGTCCGAATCCCAAAGTAACTCTCTCCGTGTTCTTACCTAACCCGTGATCGTGGGTTTCACCTAACATAACTGGCCTGCAAAATGTCTACAGATTCAGTGACGACACATGGTCTCAATGTCTGCTCTCAAATAACAACAGTCTGGTTTGGATCATGATTCCTGCCGTTCCGATACGCCTCGGGTACATGTAATTTTATTTGCCCTTTTGCTCTTATTCCCAAGACGTATTTGTTAGCTTATTCAAGCTGTGTATCCTAACATTAGTTGAACAAATGGCATGGCCAGAAGCCCTTTTGTTGCAGTTTAGATAGCATCTTTATATTCGCTGTGGTCTCACTTTACGGTTGGCGACACTCTCTGAACGCCATTAAAACAAATGTAACACTTATGGCAATGTTGAAGAAGGATTTGTAAAGGTATGGTTTAAAAAGATAACCCATTTTATTGTTAGACAAAGACATTGATATAGTGCATATGGAGTGAATGTTGTTTGACACAACAGTCAGCAATATTCCAGCTACATCATGGCTGCCTGTTAATAATCCAGTTAGGACAAGGAAATTGAAGACCCAAGGCATTGGCAACGTTCGATGTCATTGGGCGCGACATGCAATTAACCAAGCTACTGAATTTTACGACCATATCGATTTTGAATGAATCTTTCTCACTGAATGTACACATCGAATGTACCACAAACATATCCATATCCATTGTGTGGATTTACCTGATCAACAGCTTACATGGCTTAACACTCACTGAATACATTGTTTATCCAGCGCGAGTGCATCCATGCCAAAAGAAAGTGAGTTAGGAAATCTGTGAAATGCATGTTTGAACAGTGTTTCAGTCATATCATGAGGTGTCAGCTTAATGTTAGTGGAAAGCTCACAAGGACGCAATGTCATTAAATTCGGATTTGTTATACTCCGATACTATACCTCCAAAGGAGGTCGCGTCATGTGAACTTTCTAATCAGCGTCGATGTTTCTAAATTCTCCTGTACGAGTGAGCAAATTAGTCAGACACGCATGTCTGTTTTCTGTACCTTGAAGACGGTTATACTTGGGGAATGATGCCGTTCTTCATGTGCCTTTAATTATTATTATTATGTGACCAGCATCTTTTACACTTCTACAATTACAATTCCCTACAGATTCCATTATAGAAAGTCAGTATTACCACACTGCACCATCCTTCCATGATTGACTTCTTGAGAAGACATTCATTATTACACTTCTTTCAGTTATAATATATGTTCTAATATGATCAGCCAGCAGTGAATATACTTTGGCGCATTGAGAAAACTGTCCAAATTTTGTAGAATAATCATGTTTACGTTTAACACATGGTGAAGAAATATAAACTGGTTGATGTTAACGGTGCAAATAATATTTGTAATCCATGTTGATTCCCAAATGTACAGTTGGAATATTGTACCAATGAATGTGGCCTGATTGTATAAAGTTCAAATTCAGTCGGTCCCATTGTCCGTTTTTTTGTTAAATCACTACTTCGGCTCATGGGAGATTATGATCTGGAGTAATATTACGACTTTCACACATGAAAGCTGTTTGTAGTTAGTTCCTCTCCTCCTCACCATAGGCAGGTCAATGTCGAAGATGAGAGGGGGCACGGGTGGCTAAGTCGTCTAAGGCGCCGCGATGAGCTGTGCAAAACACTCCAGAATCCTATGATTGTGGGTTCGAAGCCCGGTTCGCCCCGATTATGTTTCTAGGTTTGTTAGCACCATACCCGTGCTCGTGGGTTTCACCGAAGTGGTAAACGTCTGAGACCTGTATCACTTCGGACTTTCCTGCCACATTAAGCTGACACGCCGCGATATAAGATGGAGGAACATAAAGTGAGCATAACCGGACAGCAACAGCTTTAAGGGGTGTATTTAGAGGAACAGGGCTATGTATAACACCCTCCCTCACCAATACTGAAGATCCTACCGCGACTCTAGGTCCTGGAGGAGAGAAGTAATTATATACTCACACGCAAAAGAAACGCAAGTCGAGTATGCAGTATACATGTTATTTATTTTCAACAGTAAAGACAAGAAATGCTTATAGGGCAAGATTGACAAAAAAATTACTAAAGACAGTTTAATCAATTAAAAGTCAGATGACATAATTGTTTTTGTTCGAATGTTAAGGGCTTACATAGTTTCGGTTCAATACCCAAAATGGCAGTCAATACCTGGTGTGACCACCATTAGAATTGATCACTTCCACACATCTTCTGTACATTGAGTGGATCAGCCGATTTGTGAAGGCCCTAGGGATCCTCCTGCATACATCCAGAGCAGCTGTGCGTAGTTCATCGGCAGTTGTAGGGACTGGGCGCACATTGTGCAGACGCCTTTGAACCTCATCCCACAAGTGTTCGATGGGGTTCAGATCAGGGCTGAGGGCTGGCCGCGGTAGAACACGGATGTTGTGTTGTTGCAGAAAGGCCATGGTAGCTCTGGCAACATGGGGTCGAGCGTTGTCCTGCTGGAAAATGTGTTGTTGATGTTGTGCAAAAAATGGAACAACGTGGGGTCCGATCACTTGGTCGATATACCGCTGAGCATTGACGCCGTGTCCCCGACCTTGACCAACATTCAGAAAGCACAGGGGTCCAAGTCTCGCATTAAGTCCAATCCCTGCTCATATCTTGACGCTAGGTCCACCCCATGGATCCCTTTCCACAACGTTTCTGTCAGCGAAACGATCACCTCGACGCCGCCAAATTCTGACTCTTCCGTCTGCATGGGAGACACAAAAGCGACTTTCATCAGAGCAGATGACACGCCTCCACTCATGATGACGCCAATTGCGATGACCCTGTGCCCACTGAAGTCGTGCTTGTCGATGCCGTGGTTGGAGAACAGGACGACGTGCTGGTCGGCGACATCTGAGGTTGTTGGAACGGAGACGTCGGATCACAGTGTCCCGGCTAATGTGTCGATTATGTGTTCCTATGGTCTGTCGAGCACTTTCACTTGCAGTTAGGAACGGATGTCGCTGGTGTTGACGGGTAATCTGCCCATCTTGTCGAGGTGTGGTGACCCAAGGTCGACCGCTCCGAGGAAGGTCATATATGGTCCGTGTAGCATTGTATCGATGCAGGAGACGGTAAATTGTGGTTATGTTAACGTTGAAATGACGGGCAACATCTTGGACAGACTCTCCAGCTTCCAAACGTCCGATAGCCTGGTTTCTCTGAATTTGAGTTAGGCATGGCATCGTTTTTTATGTTGGGTTTTTACTCGGGGCTTCCAAAATGCAACCAAAAATATTGATAACACCATCAGACTTCACTACATGCTAAAACTCGTATCAATTTATGGTTCCGTGTTTGTTACCTATTTGCTTAAAACCACTTGCGTTTCTTTTGCGTGTGAGTATAGTAACACTTCTGTTTTCACAAATGCACTTACGAATGATAAAAGTGGGCAATGTTGGATAGAAAACAATTCTGGTTTTGCACCTGTAGTTGAAATTATGTCTAATCTCCATACAAAATCCAAGAGATGTTATTACAATTTACCGCAGTTGCTATAACAATTTTCGACAGTTTATTACAATTCAACGCACCTGTCCCTCAGTATAAATGATATAATTATAAATTAAAACGAAATTACTTTTTCGTTGTTTCATTGAATACGATGGTATTTTGAATGGACCATGGTGAAGTCAAACAAACACTGGAATTCTAATGTCTTTGGAATCTGAAGAAATGAGTGATATTATTACAATTTACCGCAGTTGATGTTACAATTTGCCGCACCTGCCTCTCAAAAAGGAATTATAGAAAGTGAAGGAAAATCCCTCTTTGTCTTTCCTAAAACATGATGGTGGTCGGAATTGACCACGGTGAAGTCGAACAAACAAACTTCAAACTCATTTATTCTCAGAAAAAACACCCACGGTGGTACATGAGATACAATCATATACAATTTTATTATGTACAAAATGTCAGCATTTAACAAGAATAGGATTCGTGGATACTTATACAATTTACCAATTGAATTGAACACATTGTTAAGGAATTTAGATAGGCCTTTTAGATCTCTTACACTGTTTGTGGTCATAATTTTCTTAAATTGAGACATGTTTGGAAACTGAACATAATACTTATTTAAGAGTTCATATCGCTGTTGGTGAAAAGCTTCACATCGGAATAGGTAGTGAAATTCATCTCCCACAGCGATTGAATCACAGAGTGGACACTGGCGGTCTTCCCCGGGAATGTTCAACCATCGGCCAGTTTCAATTTTAGATGGACTCTTTCTATAATAGTTAGATTCTCGTACCCCTAGATCTCGACACCATATAATAGTATAGGGACGACGATTGCATCAAATGCAGATAAGAGGAAATCTAATGGCAAAGTAACATTTCGGGAAATTCATGAGTAAGCTGAACATGGCTTTAGTTGCGTTTTCTGACAGCGATTTGACTGCTTGTATATACATCGTCTATTCCTGTGTAGTTTTAGGCCAAGGTAGTTATATGAATCTACAGTTTCGATAGGGTCGAAGCCGATAGTGAAACATAATTTCGATTCGTTTGCAGGTCCGGCACCAAAGATCACCATTTTTGTTTTTGTTAGATTAACATTTAACTTCCATAGAGCACAGTAGTCGGAAAACTGATTTAACGATCTGTGTAGGTCTTTAGGGTTATCACTTATTATAGCTGTGTCATCAGTATAGAGCAGTGTTAGGAGCTGGAAAAATACTGTTAGGTTAGTATCGATCAGATTTTTAAGATCATCACCTTTACATTCATTGTTCAGCAGATATTGTTCGAGATCATTAAGGAATAATGAAAACAGGAGAGAGGAAAGGTTTTCACCCTGTCGTACACAATCAAGACATATGAAATCATCAGTGAATACTGGAACTCAAATTAGTTTTCGAATTTGAAGGACTGAGAGATGTTATTACAATTTTCCGCAGTTGTTATTACAATTTGCCACAGTTTGTTTCAATTTGGCGCACCTGCCTCTCAATATGAATGACAAGAAATTGAAAAAGAATGAGCTTTTTGGGTATCCTAAATGTGATGATGGTCGGAATTGACATTGGTGAGGTCGAACAAACACTTACAATTCGAATGTCTTTGGAATCTGAAGGACTGAGATTTTTATTACAATGTACCGCAGTTGTAATTACAATTTACCTCGTGGCTTGATGGTGGTCAGAAATGACCATGGTGAATGCAGTAGAAGAAACACTGGAATTCGAATGTGTTTGGAGTAAATCCAAACATTGAAATTGTAATGTATGTAGTCCTGGTCAATACGTTTCAATCGTTTTTTAGACAGGTTTTTGATTTCAAAACAGCTGATCATGAGTCTCACATTTTCAACTTCATGCATGTTTCTTTGTATAGTAGCAAATGATAATATTTTATTACTGTAACACTTAACTGCAGTGTTATTACGATTTACCGCAGTATTACACTTAGCTCAGTGTTATTACATTTTACTGCAGTTTATTACAATTTACCGCGTTATTACAAGCTACGTCGAAACAGTCACATGCTTGATGTTAGGGTGACTTGAATACATATCAATGTATTCAGATGTAATTGTTTGATTTCCACATCTACAAGTTATGGAAAGAAAGAAAATACAATAACATTAACAGTTAAATGTATGCTATATGACAATTCTCTATCTTCATGAGAGAAAACGCATAGCAAGAACTGTGTCATATGTAATTGACCACAGATTTCTGCCTATCATCACAATAACACCTTTCTGAAGCTCACATTTACTTGTATTACAAAAGTGGGTTAGGACAACACAATACATACATTGAATATACATTGCAAAGAAACAAACACAATCATAGTTTCATGTTCCAAAGTGTTGTTAACGATTTAATCCCTGCAAGAATGGGAGGCTGTAGTACAAATAACTTAGTACCAAAAATTTGGAGTAACCCCAAACTCACAATTGAACTTTATATGTTGATAAACATGGCTATAATAGCTCCCATACAAAATGCCCATAGTATCAAGTGTGTGGGTGTGGCCCAAATCGAGCAAAGCAAAAGGCTACCAAGTTAGCCATGTGCTCTGCGTTGAAAGAGACGTAACTCCCATAGCGGTTTAACAGATCGGAGACCGCTATCGTGACATATAAGGAGGGTTACTCCCAAAATCCAATTCACTGATGAATATAAACTAAAATCGAATGTACACTTATAAAAGATACATAAAATATGGTTGTATGATAACATAACTAGCATATCAAATGCCTAGCAATATCAGTCGAATTGTAGGAAAGATAATGTGAAGTGCTTCAGTTAGTACTTCTATGTGGTAGATGTCTGCCGAATGAATATTTCTCAAGCCTTGTATTTCTTTTTAAATTTCAGATGCGTGCCTTTAAAAGCTGAATGAAGAAACGTGTTATCATGAAGAGGACATCAGAACCGTAAAACCTTCTCGTTTTTGTTGTGAAATTATTTTTGGAGAGGTAAATAAGGATCCTTTGTAACTCAAAATGTCGTCGTTGCAAGGATTCGTGAACCACTCATTGACCAGATTGAACAATACCGAGAGTTGGAATCTTATTGAAAACTTTGCTTTCAATCTGGAAACTGTTTATCTGTGGATTATACTTGTCATCGGTTTCCCCGGAAATTGTGCAACTATTGTCACCGTTGTGAAAATGTGCCCAGCCAGATCCCTTACTGTTTATATTACCATTTTGGCAGTAGTTGATAACCTGGCCATAGTTGACAAACTTCTAATGTTTGTACTCCTTGATCATGGTGTTCACGTTGGGCAGTTTGGATGTAAAATACTTGGATACTTCGGAAACCTCCTCAGCACGTTTGCCAATTGGTTGTTGGTGGCAATGTCTGTTGAAAGATTTGTAGCTGTGTGGTTTCCATTCAAACTTGGACAAAGTTGGACATTCAAAAAATCAATCATGGCCGTTTTAGTTTTAGCACTGCCCCTCATTGCCTTGTTTCTGCATCTGTTCTGGATAATGAGATTCGTTGACGACAAGGAGCAAGGCATGGTATATTGCGCTATTCATGAAGAATATAAATATTTCATGATGCACGTGTGGTACTGGATAAACGTGCTCATGTATGCGGCTATCCCTTGTACATTGTTGATCTTGTTCAACCTTCTTATCATCATGGGCATTGTGAGATCAAGAAAAGTTCAAAAGCGGCTCAGTGGTAACAAGGATGACAGCTCTAGTATTGATCGATTACGTCAAGTAACGATAATGTTAGTTGCTGCAGCTATTTCTCTGGTGATATTGACAACACCACGATGTGTAATGCTAATTTTGACTCCATATTGGAATCCTCCAGAGCAAACGATGGAGGGGTCCGTTGAGTATCTACTCGACACAATTGCATTTGTCTTGTGTGATTTCAATCATGCAATCAATTTTTATGTATATTCAATGAGTGCTAAACGATTTAGACGTCAGTTTCTTGACTTATTTCAAAGAAGAAAGCACCAAATGACCCCAACCAAAACACAATATATTTCTCTTTCTACACGACAGTCAGTGCGACTGAATGGGGATAGCCCGAGTAAGAAAATGCAGAATGGGTGAACTTCTGCTTTTGATTATTATCACCATGTCATCTTAAACTGTCAATGTCAACTTTCAAAGAGAGATGTATTCTTTTCAACTCTGATTGATAATCTTAATGTAGAAATGAATGTTAAAATAGCGATGATGGAAGGCCATGATACGTTAAGATTCTTTCATGGTGCAGATAACAATGACACAGGTGAAATAACCTGGTATTTTATTATTTTAGAATTCTCAAATAAAAAATATCCTAAAGAACATGTGGTAATATTACAAATATGTTTTACTGTTTATGGCCTGTATATATGCAGGGCACTGATATATGTTTGATCTTGTTGTTATTTAATTATTTAATTACATAATGTTGATATTTTGGGAATCTTCGTATTTATCTGGGGGAAAGAAAGACATTCATTTATTCATATTCTCACCCGGATCTTCACGGATGATATCCCTTCTGGTTTGCAGAAGCATTATTTCAGCTATCTATTCAGATAACTACATGAACATATTTGAGCAATGAATGTATCATCTTATTTAAATTCAGGTTGTGCAAAGTGTTAATATACACAAAGATGTCTTCTGCGAAATAGTGTTTCAATACATTTGTTTTTCTGACGTTAACAAAGAATTATCCTGCAATAAGCACTAAGATTTGCATGTTTGCGCCAACATTTAATCATTAAATGTAACAATTTGCTAGTTGATTTTGCTCCATCATGTTATTGTCATATTTGTTGACCTGTCGCCTTCACATGGTAGAAGTACTGCTGGGCGGTGTCACGCAACAAACACATCCGTTTTTTGCAAACTGTGTAAGTGGCGGGGACGACCGGTATGAGAGGACATGCTTACACTTTTTGCGAACACCTACTGTCATCAGTGATTTTCAGTGATCCATTCATATAACTTTCACCTCTATTTTGGCTTTTAAGTCCAGTGGAATCTGTTTCATCGGATAATCGAGACTGGTTATTCTCTGGCCTTGATGTTTTACATTTACAGTACACCGTCACGCACTCCCGTATTGGACGATTTGCTCCTCGTGTCAGGCATTTTTGAGATTCAGAGTTTGGTTGACCTATAGATCAGATCGTTTTCTGATTGTGAGTTAAAAATTCAAAGAACATTGTATACATTGTAACCCTGATAAAATCAAATTCAACCCTGCCCCCTGCAATTGCCCTGATCTGCGGATTAAAGAGGTTATATTTCATGATTATATGATTCCTGTCTGGGCTAAAGGAGTTTCACTGAGTTTGAAAAATAACGATAGGAAAGCATGTGTTGGTCCTGGTATTGTTATATTAGGCCCTTATGGCAAGTTAGACAAGTAAGTTATGTTTTAGTCATTATATAATCCACGCCTCGATCGTCATTGTTCTTTGCGATTTATCAGGTAGCTCTCTTTTATCAATATTTCTCTTTCCACGTATATGTAATTCTGCATTATATGGTGTATGGTGATTGTACCAGCTTGGTACCCTCGAGGGGGGTTGAAGTAGCGTACAATTATTGTCCCCCTAAGAGGGTATGTAAGTCCCAAATCATTCGAAGTATTTTTATGCATACCAGACTTTTAAAACGTAGCATTTTTGTCATTTTAATCTTAGGCTAAACTGGTAAACTATCGCCAGTGACTTAAGGGATGATATAAATCCTGCCGGGGTCCATGCAGGAAGCAAAGGCACTGTAAGTCCCCATGGTCTCTGGTATGGTGATCTCTCTTTAGTTACTGATCGACGATCCCTAGCCCATTTTTTTACTGTGTTGTTCACTGATACTTATGGTTTTTATATATTCTCAACTAGTTTTAAATCGAATCTGTGGTATTCTAGTTATTGTACTGTCCTTCGTTGACAGCTTTTTATTTAGTCTAAATCTATGTATTATTAACGTACTTCTCGTCACGATATGGCTAAAATACTGCCGATGTGACGTTAAATCTTAACTCACTCACTCACTCACTTGTAGCAGCTTGTGCGTGTTGTAAGGAAACTCATCAAAAGAACTTACGTTTATCAACGGGTGAATGTAAAACCGAAAGGCATGCGCAATGTATACCAAGACAAATAAATATTACCGATTTGGACGTTGTTGTTATGAAAAGGTGTTGTTGTTTTCAGAAATGTTGTTCCTGCTGTTGCGCAAAGACAATCAAACATGAGTGAGTTGGTATGGTTTTACGCCGCTTTTAGCAATATTCCAGCAGTATCACGGTAGGGGACACCAGAACAATCAATCAAACATGAATATAAATTATACGTTTATCAGTTGCTGTGTAAGGCATATTATCCTCAATTGTTAGAAGATTGACATTGCGTTCTAGAATGTAGGACATTGGTAATCAAAACATAAACAGGGCATTGACACCTAATCCCGGACAGTGGTTCCTCAGAAATGATTGACCGTTGACAAACGTTACTAGAAATCACTGACCATGGACATGGTGTATAAGGATGTACTGATACTGTGGCAATGATGCATTACCGCTTAGACAATGAATACATAGGACACCGACAACTACCTTACCGGAAATCCATTGTCAGGCATTTAGAAGATAAAACCTACTTAGTTTAGAGGTTTCGAAAGTAGATCCGATGACTGTAAATGTCATTCGAAACCGAACGCCATAAAGTAAAATTTCGATTTTGAAAAATATAACGGTATCGAAGCTCGAAACAGTATGTACACTACAACGCGAACGTTTGTTATTCCACGGATAAGTTGCAAATAATTCGCGAAAAATCCGCGGATTTCTGTGAAAAGTATTTTATGGGACTATCACGCCATCAATGCGTGGCGGGCCATGGCAATATTCTCCATACATGTACAATGTATACTATGGTGCTGCGCTGTGAACGGATTGCAAGTACATTTGAGAATTACATGTAAACAACAGTTTGTAAAATATTCCGGTTATGATAATGTTGTGATTAAATATTCTTTTTGACATGAGAATGTGATTTATGATACATTTTCATTGTGTCTCATGCATTGTACAAATCTACATGTATACATGTTTGTACTTGCATATACTTATGCAGTGGTTTGATGAAAAACTTTGACACTGGTTTTAGTACAGTTGATATGTGTACATGTACATTAAATTTTTTATTAAAAAACACATACAATGTACATGTATGGAGAGACGTCCTGATTATTGTGGTCACACAGTTAACGTTTATAACAATATGAAGTGCGTTGCATGTACTCGTAGAAAACTGATTATAAGATACGCATTAGACACATATACTTCAATTCCCATGTTATTTAAATTAAAACCAACCATTAACTACGGATCTGTCTGTGTGAAAGTGCTAAGTGTCCTTGTGATATAACAATAGACCTTGTACATTCAAGCACGTTTTATACGTACTGTACAGGATATTGCAATCAGACGGACGGTCAGTAAGACAGCTTATTATCTTGTATTAGTTTACAATTAATGTGGTAAGTACATCAATTGTCGTCAGTTTATCCAGAAACAACACAATGTAAATGTATAATGTGTGCTACTCTCAAGCGAAAATAATTGTATACTGATTAAAGCTAAATGTGTGAGCAACTATTGTTAGTTTATCATAATTAAATAACCAGGTTTGATTGTTGTGCATGCAAGATATACATGTAGTTATTATACTACACTCTAGGGATAAATCAAACTTTCGCAAGTTTGCTCTCGTTATCATAATGTTCAATTTCAACATGCCACACCAGGCGTTTATAAACAGTTATGCAGGTGTTGCTGTAGGCAATTACTTAGCCTGTATATATATATTTGTAGACACATGCATAACATATTTTCGTTAATTGTTGATATATTAGGCACAAAGACACATAACGCTTATAAAAGATGAATTGGTGCCTTGATATACAACAAGAACGAATCTTGTTTTTTATCTCCGCGATCGTGATGTGTATCATCGTTTAATGGTTTCTCCTGTTACATGTATGTTTGGAGGTGATATAAAGAGCGACGCAGCGCCCAGCAGATACAGAAAGTGTCATCCGTTTCGCGTGAACTACCAACCCACTTCCCTACCCTGTCAGTAAGAGTTATGTAATCGGGACACAAATAACTTTAAAACGGCGTGAGTGTGGAAGGAGTTTGAATTCCGACTGCCGTTCCCATAACCTAGCGATGCAGGTAACTAAAACCAAATAAAATATGTCTTGACATCATCTGTTGTGTATTAGATGATAGTTATGATCTGAGAATGTTATAGCGTTTGGTTAGGAAGGAGAAAAACTTAAGTGTTTTTGAGATTTGGGAACACCCAAACATGTGGTTGAAATCAGTCACTGAGCAATAAGATTAAGCAACATAAACATGCATAACAGGGCATAGAGGGAATGGTGGAAACAAATTGAAATAGATTTTTATAACAAAATAATAACTTGCCTGTGCACAAGCGGCTCCAAAGGATAGGATATTGCACAGACAACACACACTTGTTTGATTGTTTTGAGTTTAACACTGGCGAATAGAACGTGGTATTTATGTTACATGTATACGTTTGCTTCCATTTACACATTCAGATTTCTTACACACCTGTGGGTGGGAAACCCATTTGAGATAACTGGTATCAAACATATGTGTGAGATCGAATTCCAGGCCCGTGATAGGCTACTCCATGGTGATGACCTGAGGTCAGATGATGACGGACTACTTTTCTGATTGTAAGTCATTGATAAGTTGCTCGTGCTTGAGTCGAATGTTCACCTACGCCTTGTTGAACCACAGGACCGTGTAATAATTGAAACTACTCCTACTACTACTACTACTACTACTACTACTACTTATAATAATAATGCGAGTTTGTTTGTTATTATTATTATCAGTTACATTATCTGCTGTTATGTCAACGTTATCATTTTTCAGAGTGTAATGCACCCCCTGGATGCCAAAGCGACACATATGTCCCTTCTCTTCAACCCTCACTTCAAAGTCGAATAAAATTCAAAATACATCACGCAAACTAATACACTTCGCAGTTTTGAATTCACTCTTCCTTTTATCATTTGCTGTCATTTTAGGCAAAGCAAAATTACTGAAAGTGACTTCTGAAAATTAGGTACATTGTAAATCTAGCCAAATCCCAATTCACGGGGTTATTTACTGTGTGTTTAGAAATCTAAATATTGGATATTTACTCGAATAATTAAAGTAGAAAAATATCATATTAGTGACCAAGGGTATCAAATAACTAATGATAATTATGAAACGTCGCTGATATGCCTAGAATCGTTTA